GAGAGAGAGAGAGAGAGAGAGAGAGAGAGAGAGAGAGTGTTTGTGTATGTGTGTGTGTGTACACACACACACACACACACACATTAAAAATAAAAGTAAAAATATGACTCTTGGGAATATCCATACTATTAAAACAATGATCACCGAGAGAATGCTTTAAGAGAATAAAATTACATACACACACAGGTAAAAAAAGGATATATGCAGTGTTATCTTCATTTTAGATGTCAAAAGGGTCTCTCTGTGTCTCTCTCCCTCCCTGCCCTTGGTCTGCCACTCCTCTTCCCCCACTCTCTTTCTTTCTCTCTTTCCTCTCTCTCTTTCCCCCTCCCTCTCTCTCTCTCTCTTTCTCTCTCTCTCTTTCTCCCCCCCCCCCATCTGCTGCTCACCTGGCAAGCTTCAAGTTGTTCTCCAACAATCTCAGGGGTAGGCAACCTCGTCTCTTTTATGACTCATGGACTTCAACTCCCAGAATTCCTGAGTCAGCCTAGCTGGGCTAGCTAGCTCTCTCCTGCCCTTCCTGCTTCCTGCTTTCTTCAGAGACGCAGCAAAGGGAGGAGCTCCGCCCAGAAAGCTTTTCAGCTCCTCGGAGAACAATGTGAGTGCACTCTCTTTTACACACACACACACACACACACACACACAGAGAGAGAGAGAGAGAGAGAGAGAGAGAGAGAGAGAGAAGCAGGGAAGCACAATTCCTCTCTCTGTCTCTGTCTCTCTCTGCAAAGGCAGAGGAGGCTGGGAGCCACAGGGGAAGTCTCAAAGAGCCGCATGCGGCTCCGGAGCCGCAGGTTGCCGACCTGTGCTCTAGACTAACCCTTTGTAAAAGCAGCCCAGTTTTGGCAGATGCCATTTACACCTTCATTATAATTTGTTTTGGGTTTTCTCCCTTTTTCAAAATATATCTTTCAATTTGATATGCTGTGGGTTTCAACTTAGAGAATTAACTCCTTTAACATTTAGGTAACACCTTTCTTTGATCACTTAAAACAAATAGGTGTATTGTCATTGTATCTGGCAAGGGCTTTTATGATAAATTACATTTCTATTCAGTTTTTAAATGAGATTTTTTTTAAATTAGAAAAGTCAGGAAGCAAGGGAAAGGAATCACTTTGTCTTTTGAAAGATAGTTAATTCCATGCTACAATTTTTCAAAAAAGTGTTATATCCATTTCATGCGCTTTACAATATATGTTTGTATACATTTTTCATTTAATAAATGAAAAATGAATGATTGGGATGCAGAGTCCTTGTAACAGTCGACCTAAACAGTCCATAAGTCAAATTAATAAACTGGAATTTAAATTAAAACTGATTCAACATGCTCTATTCCCCCTCCTACTTCCTGAGAGGATAATCAAAACTAGGTTTGCCTTCATTCGTAAAACTAGGTTTATTTCAGACATTACTGAGAGTTCCAAGAATGCTCAGGTACTGTAGTTTGTTTGGAATAGCCAAAGAAGAGAAAATGAGAATTTTGAGATGAAATGAGATGACCAGGCTCAGTTTGGGGGTCCCTTTGCAATAAACCTAAGTTTATCCCCCCTGAAGTCCACTGATTCTTACCTACCACCAATTTGCCTTGACTGTTCAGAGTCTCATAGTGAGCTAGCATGGATTAAATTTACACTCATTTGAACAATCGTGGTTCTTGATTCCTTGTGCCTAACAAATTGTACACTTACATTAACTGCTGTTTCTGTTTTATAGTTTTATTTTGAATGGTTAGGCTATTTTAACATTGCTGTTGCCCAAAAGTGAGAGATATCCTGTTCCTGCCCCAAACAAATAAACGAAAACCCCTTCACACAATTCGCTTAAAGTTCAATCTTATTCCTCCATCCCCATTCATACAAGCTGATTTTTTTCCTTACTCTCAGAACTTATACTTGGTCCTATAATGGGATTGTGGGAATTGTAATAAATAGGGGCCCATCACGACATGAAGAATAGCCCCAGCAAAACTACTATCTGGAAATAGCTCATCAACATTTAATATTTTTATTCATTTGTAATATGTTTAAACTGTTTCAAACTTAGAAGAGTCAACTGGTGCAGAAGAGCAGTGGTGACAAGGCAATTCAAAGAAATAAGAACACAAGAATACAATAATTTAAACAAATACAATTATCAGAACATTTGTTCCATGAGGAAGCAAAAAACAGCTGTTTTAAAAAACTGATGTACATTTGATTTTACAGACAAAATTTAAATAACATATTTGGTGCTACTTTTGAAAATGGTGCTAAATTACTTTGTCATTAGCAGGATTACTTTTTATGTAAGTATTAGGACACCAAGCTTGGACATTTTATTTTTTTAATTCATTAGAAGAAAGTGTGAATAGATGTGACTTTTGGCACAATTATATGCCAAAAGCTATATAAACAGTAAAACTTTAATGGGCTGTTTAGGGGAGGATGTCTGTTAAATCTGAATATTGGTTGAATCTGAATTTACATCATTTACATAATTATATAACTGCTGTAAATGCCCCATTTGCAGTAAAATCTTGATTTAATCCACAAATTCTTTAATTAATTAACAGACAGTGTCTATAAAATATGAACAAAAATCTGAACAACAAAAAAAGTATATTGTATCCAGGGTCCTCCAAACAGGTTTGTGAAGATTTATTGTACTCACAACAATCCAGGCTGTTTGAAAAGAGAACTAAAAATTCACTTTAGGTGAGGTTTTTTTAGGACTTTAAAATAATATGACCTCTGATACTTCTCAATTTCTGATGATGCAAATATGAAAAATGATGTCTTAGATTGTGGTGCTGAAGAAGATTATCTGCTAACAATGAGCCAACTTATCTGCTAATAGTGAGCTAACCTATCCACTAACAATGCATAGGTTAGAGACATTCCTGCTGCTGTAAAACAAAGGCCCCTGTTTAGAATACATAGATGGTAAAAAGAGACATATGGTTTGAATCTTGAATCCACAAAAAAAGGCTTTAATTTTACAGTTTGTATTTGCCTTGTTTTTTTTTCATACTGATTTCTTTTCTGGTATCAAGAGCTGTTTCCTTTAATTCCTACTTGCAAATTTTTTAGTTAGTTTTAATCTGAATCCATACAATAAGCTCATTAGGCAGCAAGATTTTAGAACCCTTAAAAAAAAAGGGAAATGATTATTAAATACTCTATTATTGTTATCTTGTTACTATTGGAGAAAGGATTGGCATTTGATACTCTGAACCTGTTTGGCTTTTGATACTCTGTAATATCAGGCCCTTACTAGAACGTCTTAGACATCATGATTGAATGAAGAACATTATGTTCATCTAAGAGGGAAATCAAATTAATGGTCACTGCATTATTTAGCAATGAGAAATATATATGTGCACATGCACACACACTGACACACAAACGCCTACTTTCTTTCTTTCTTTCTTTCTTTGTGGTGGTACATCTTCCTTTACATTATAAACTTTCCGCCTACTACGATGGAGGAGGTAGATTGCTGCTGTGGTAACAGAAGGTAACAGAAGGTGGTTTATAGCTAGAAAGGCTGAGATTTCATGCTGGAGTAAACTTATACATCTGAAACATATTTAGAGCAACAGAGTCAGCCTTGTTCTGTCATCCTCTCCCCAGAAGAAAAGTCACACGTTTTGTTTTTGTCTTTGAGGTGGGATGTTTTGTACTTTGGGAGTGAATAATTAAAGTCTGTTACAGTGATCCGGTGTTATGTGGGTTTCTATTAGAAGCCTTTGCTACTGAGCTTAGTGATAAACAGATGGGAAGAATGGCTGTGACAGGCCAAAGAAAAAGAAGTCACACAGCCCAATCATCAATGGCTGGGGCAAAATGGTATTTGTGCTGCTGAATTGAAAGCTTGAAAAGGAAGCTGTACCAATTCAATATTAGTCCCTTTTTTTCATTAAGGCAAAATATACCTGCTGTGTGCGTAAAACTGGTGCAACAAACTTGCAAAGGCCTTAGCAATCAAAAGAAGTAATGGACTGAAATAATGTGGAAATGATGGCCCTGTCTACATTACTGCCATCAAAAGAAACAATTCTGTTGCTAATGGAAAACTATCTGGATTTGTTCGTTGTATCTTATGTTACATTTACAATAATATTGTATTATTGTTGAACAATTTCAAAGTTAAATTTCAGGCCTGGATTTCTTTTCCTTATTGGAGAATTCAAAGCTTTCTATCCAAAATATTCTTAAATTCCCCCTCATTTTTGAGATTTGAACACATACAGCTTTTTTTATTATGTGTTGCATAAGTACCTAAAAATGATAGACTCCAATAGCAAAAATGAATTTTTTTTTTTGTTTATCTAAGGGGTGTCAGACTTGCCACGTCATGTGATGTATCGTGATGTATCACAACTTTTTTCCCCTTGCTGGAGCTGGGGTGGGTGTGGCTTCCACATGATGCATCCAGCCCATGGGCCAGCAGTTTGACACCCTTGATCTAAAAAAAAGTCAACTAGTGATGAAAAGAAATGTTAGCTGTGAACATTATTTCAGATTTTACTAAATCAAATAGAAAAGAATTATATGGCTTGATTTGCTTTCAAGAAAGCAATTTCAGCATTCTGAAAGAGAGGACCTCAACTCAAGTTTCTAAATATTCATGTCAAAGCAGGAACATCCAATGTTAGCAGCAATGACATCATTGTTCCGACAATTCATATATCTTCCTCGGTTAAAAAAAATGCTTCAGGATAAAAATAAGAATCTTAAGTCTATGTTGCTGTGGACCACAGGTTATGTTCATTTTAATCTTTATATTGCAACATATTAAGTTAATGTTTATATAAAATGTAACTTTGTAATTCATCTATTAGTGTGGTTTCCCATATGAGCAATCCATATTATAGATATTGTTAATATATGTCTTGAAGAGCTAGACTGACAAATCAGTGTGCCTGTTCTTTCTATAATTAGACACAAGAGAGATCGCCAGAGATATTAATTGTGGCTCAATCTCCTTTGCATTTGGATTTACATATGTTTATTTTACAGGCTTGCAAAGATTTTGTGAAGACATTGAAATGATGATTGGATTCCAGCCAAATAAATTCTGGAGAGTCTGTTGGGCTTTTGTGACCCCAACTATTTTAACAGTAAGAACTCAAGGAGAGGGAATTAAAAGGGAAAGATTGTCTTGTTTATTTATTTCCAGTATTTATATGCCATAAAATTATAAAAACTCTAGGTGGTCTGGGCAGTTTTTCAGTTTTGGTTCTGTTAATGGCCAAAACATATACCGCATTAGGTTAAATTTGGTTTTTATAGAAGCAACAATCATGAAGCTAAAATACTGACTTCTAAGGTGTATTTAAACACTAGAATTACATTTATGTAAATTTTAAGCACTGGAATATACCTCAGCATGAACATTCTTCACTGGATATTATTTTTCCCTTTTAATATTGAACCTTGGCTTCCGTGATCTCATACTAGATATGCATAAATAATCTATTCAATTCTTATCTAGCACTATGCTGGTGAAGGTTAATTAGATGCCAGCAAACTCTCCATTAAAAGCCCTATTGAAATGTGCTGAAATGAACTATTCTGTGTCTGCATAGCATCTTCTATTATTATTTTTGGCATCCAAGCAAAAGAAATTTTAGTGGACTGTAACCAGAATTCTTCCCCCTGGGTAAATTAGATTATATTTTGCATAAATATGAATTAAGCAAACCTTTATAGTGTGTGGAGATGTGTGCATATATGTATGTACACATACAATAAAACAATACTCCCATTGCAATTTCTTACATGTAAAAATATTTGCTTTCTATAGTAATTTTCTCTAGTGTCATTGTGAAAAACTTGCATATTTTTAATAGTACACTTCCAATTAATGGATGCTTTTATGTCTTTCTTTTAAATAGCCATGTGAGAACTGCTTAATGGTTATATTGCATATTAATATGACAGGAATATGTATGCCAGAATCATTTAGGTGGGGATATTTTCCCATATAATAGTCATTTGGTTTGGATAGAGAAGGCTAAGATTGTGCAGTTGACCTCAGGCTTGTATTGACGGCACAGAATATTGCTCAGATGTTATTTCTAAATTGTCTTGACAAAATCAAATTGCCCAGGAATAATTAGTACAAATCTAGTGCATGAAAACAGTGCCCGGGCTTACTGTAGGCTTAACAGTAAGCCATAATGCAATGTGGTTTTGGTGAATTAGCCTATAATTGCTTAGCATTATATGTCAACCAAGCCATATGGCTCATTTAGTAACACCATGGTTAAAAGAAACCAAAGATTACTGCATATGTTGTCTCAGAATGATGTCATTAGTCTAGAAACAAATATGGTACTATATAATCACTGTGAAGTCACAGTCTATTCCAAACCATTATTATGCTTGGAATGCACTACAGCTGAAAAGTCACGTGTATCTCATTGCTATGGCAGATAATTGGAGGAGTTCTCAAAATAAGCTGCACGTTTACATGCTTTTTTAAAAATAGAAAAAGCGTAAAGCTCCTTTCAGCGTAGCACTAAAATTACATTTTTTAAAAAACATATATTCGTGAGTGGGTAGTGCCATCTCTTGCGAAGTGTTCATTACTCTTTAGAACAACAGTTGTTCCATTGCTCAAATTCATTTATTGAAGGTGAGCAATTGTGACAAATTGTTCTAATAAACATGGCTTTCCTTTTCAGATCAAAACTAATTTATTCCAAAAGAAAACACAGACAGACATCCAGGAAAATTTAGGAACAGCCAATTCCCAGTACCACTAGGTGTCACTCTGTTGCAGCAACTCCATTTTTTAAAAACAAAACAAATCTGGAGATACAATAAAGACAAATTTGTTTCAATTTGATTCATTTTTTTATTTGATTTGGGTTTGCATTGATTTGTAATCCTTTGTTTAAAAGTCAACATAGAGTTTTATGCATTTATTTATTTATGCATTTTTGTTACACAATTACATCTATTATATTTTTGTCTTTAGAGTTTCTGTATCTCATCGTTGCTAAATACCACTAACAATTTAGTAAGAAAGAAAAAGAGATTTTTTTTTAATATGCCTGAATCCCTGCCTAGAATCTCAAATCGTCATATTATGGCATGAGAACTTTGCCCACTTTTTAAAAATCACAGGACAAGCTTTGTACAGTATTTGTATTGCATTCTTTGTTCCTCTTCTGCTTCAAGCAGAATTGTCTTTAGTCTCTACATATCTGCTTAGGATTTCAAGGTTAAATGGTTAGGGATCCCTAAAAGTATTGATAGATACAAAATTGAAATGTGAAAGGTGGGTAATCCATGTCTGACTGTGATTCTGCCGAGCTGTAATCCAGTAGGATATAAAATAAGAAACAAACAAAAGTTTGTCCTTACATTGTATTAGAGAAAAAAGTTACCCAGCTACCTTGTTTTCTTGAAAATAAGACCCAACTGGAAAATAAGTCCTAGCATGATTTTTCAGGACGCTCGTAATATAAAACCCATCCCAAAAATAAACCCCACTTAAGATTGTCAGCCAGACAGATGCATTTAGTACTTCATTTCCCAAAATATAAGCCCAGCTGGAAAATAAGCCCTAATGTAGTTTTTGGAGCAAAAATTAATACAAGACCTGGTCTTATTTTGGGGAAAACAGGTAGATGATGTATTTTCTGATTTAGGACTCATAAAATCCATAAATTTTATAGTAACATGTATCTTTTTCTTAACACCTTCAGAAGGCAAAGCAAACACTTGAAAGGACATTGTTATCATTCATGCATAGAAATCAGTCAGCTGTTGAGAACCTACTTTAATCCTATCAGATATGACTGAAGCCCAAACTTCAGTGCAGCTGAAGATTAAAGGCTTGTGTTTTAGCGTGGCAATGCCTGTTAGTTAAAAGAATGGAGTCTTCTGGGAAAAAAAGAAGTGCACATCCTTCAGCTAATGTTTGGTTCATCGGCAAGCAGCACCATTTGTAGAAACCAGCAGGCCTCTGAGGCAATACAGTCCAGATTCAACTGGTCTGACTTGAAAGTAGTAAATAATTTCTACATGGATTGCTCTAGAAAGTCACACAGCTGTGTTAAGCACATCGTGTAACCTAAGAATTTGGCTTGCTGCAGGGAATAAAGAATAACTCTAGGAATTAGGCATTTCAGAAATACAAACTCTTTCCTTTTCATCATGCACACATAGACATCTCTCTCTCTCTCTCTCTTTTTTTTTATTCCTGAGCAGGTGCACTGTGGTAGCAGGAACAGATTGCCCTGTGGCAGCATTGGGGAAAATGAAAATAGGCAGTCATCTGCCAAGTTTTGCAAAGATGTACCTCTGCCATTCAGTTTAGCTGTTGGTGCCAGCCATGGCTGGCTCTTTTCTGACTTGCTGTCGCTGCAAGTTGACCCAGGTGCAAGTGGGTCAGGAAGCTTCAGCTTAATCCAAATCTCCTACCTGTTATATCCCAAATTGCTAGTTATTTTCCCACCAGGTGCTACTCTCTGCAGTAACATAGTACAGGGTAGCTGCTTTATATTTCAGGATCCAAACCAAACTCCTTTGGCTGTGGCTTAGACTTTCTTCTGAATACCTCTAAAATTGCTTGCAAATTTTTTCTTTGTCTACCTTAGCAATACAACATTGATGTGCAGTTGTTATTTGTATTTTCCTTTAGCTCTTTTTTTTTAAATACAACACAGCAATCATTGAATGGATTTAAGCAGAAGAAAATAGGGTGGGGAGGAACAGTGGCTCCATTTAACTCTTTACTTTTCAACCATTTTTTTTCCATAAATCCTCATCTAAAGATATTGTTCTTGTTGTTCCATAGGAGGAAAAGATGGATCCAACTTAGCTATGGAGCAATGAAAATGCTCCATGCCTAAATATGAGATTACTGAAGATGCATTAAAACTCCTTTGCATTTTTCTTTTTGATTGAGACATTCGATAAAACTAATATTTGATACATTGGAATAATTAAGCTTACAGTTTGAATTGATCCATGTTAACCTGAAGTAACGCCGGCCACTTTTATATGTTCTCTTTGATAAATCTCCATTAAATTATTGTATGTGCCGACAGTTCACAGATGATATCAAATTATGCACCAACATACAAACATGTGGCTCTTTATGCTGTAAATGTAGTGGATTAATACGATAATTACATTAAGCTATGCTGCCAATAGACTGCATAATACCTTTTTAAAAACTGTAGATATAATAATGTGGATTCATTTCCTCAAATATATCTAACCTTTTCCATTGAGTTATGTAATATTTATAGTAGTCAATATTGCCTTAAATCTGATCATATATAATCATTTGTTGTTATGAAGTAGTATATCTAGACACACATTTATAATTTCATAGAAATTGTGTGTGTTTATTTCATAACATGATTATAATCCCATGTGTTTCTTTTCCAGTTCATCCTTTCCTTCAGCTTCTATCAGTGGGAGCCAATGACTTATGGCACCTATCATTATCCAGGATGGTCAATGTTATTAGGATGGTTGATGTTGGCTTGCTCTGTTATCTGGATTCCTATTATGTTTGTGATAAAAATGCACCTAGCTCCTGGAAACTTCATTGAGGTAACTCTTATGTCTTCTATTCCCCTCCTTTTTTTTCTGGAATTTAGCATAGGATTGGTCTATCATGTGTTTCCAAATTTTACTCTGTGGTTATTATTGATCATTGTTGACACTGGATGAATGAGCAGCATCTAAAGCAGGCATGTAAAACTGCCAGCCTCTGGGCTGGATGCATCACACTGAAACCACACCCACCCAATGCCGGCAATGGGGAAAAAGTCATGATACATCACGTGATGTCACGTGACGTTGCGAGTTTGACATGCCTGATCTAAAGGATGACTGTTGGAATCAGATGAGGGCAAAATATACTTCTAATATACCTTTAAGAAATCCTTGGAAATATCCAGAAAATTTCACACTGCAGATAGTTCCAATATGAGGAACACATTGTAGTAGGTGAAATGTAAAGAAGAACCACAGTTTGTGCATTTTTCTTAGGGATTCTGACATTACCCCAAACAAAGATAACAGTGATATTCTAGAAACTTCCAAAGTTGATTTATAATAACATTGTATCCTTAAAGGTACTTTATTAATTTTTTATAGGAGAAATAGGCTTCCAGTGAGGTTCAGGATAAGGCAAAATTCCCCTGACTCCATCTGAAACAATTTGTTCATATTTCATTTTCAGCAGAATATTTCCTGAGCTTCTCAGTTTATTACAATTGATTGGGGAGGCATAAGTTGCAAAGTGGTAATTAAGCAAGAATTAAAATAATTGGTATGGAGACTCAATTGCCTTTAATAGGTAGTAAACATATAATCGTTCCCTTTAATACTGTCATAAATATGTTTTCTTTCTCTTCTTTTCTGCATAACATGTACCAAATTATATCTTGAACACAATTTCAGTGACAAGATGAACATGATTTTCATTGCCTCAAACTCTGCAGAAATATCCTGGTTTCCTGCCTGCAGACAGAAATAAAATTGTAGTATGATAATTAAAATATTTTTTTCATTTCCTGCTGTTTATTGCATTCCTGATCATCACTGCATTTTTTTTTTTTTTTGAGAAATTTGCTAAGCAGAAGTCATATTATCTTGATGCAGGAACAAACTGCTCAGTTGATTTGGTGCCAGTGTTTCTCAACCTTGACAATTTTAAGGCATGTGGACTTCAACTCCCAGAATTCCACAGCCAGCATTGGCGGCTGTGGAATTCTGGGAGTTGAAGTCCACATGCCTTAAAATTGTCAAGGTTGAGAAATACTGGGTTAAACAGTTGAGCACATTGGCCTTGGCATTTGAGCTTAGTCACTAGTGACTCTAATGGAGAAATAATTGACAATGGTGAAGGCTATATAAGTAAATGGAGTTTTTATTTATTGATCTTGAGCTAAACAAACTCTGTATTGCAGTTACTTTAATACTGTTGTCTAGACTAACATGAGTAATTTCAACTGATTCTGATCTGTATTTGTAACTGATTCTCCCTTCCCTTCCAGAAGCTCAAGTTGGTCTGCTCTCCTCAACCAGATTGGGGGCCATTTTTGGCTAAACATCGTGGTGCGCGTTATCAGAATATGATAGATCCACTGGGGACATCTTCGCTTGGACTTAAACTGCCACCAAAAGATTTTGAATTGGAAATACAATCCTAGTAATTCTCCTCCTTGTGGCTATGTTGTACAGTTCTTTCTTTCTTTCTTTCTTTCTTTCTTTCTTTCTTTCTTTCTTTCTTTCTTTCTTTCTTTCTTTCTTTCTTTCTTTCTTTCTCTGAAAGTGGTTTTTTAGGAAGTAAGATTTATTGTTGCATGCTCACAGTAAATGCTAGATAGACCACTTTAAGCACTAGATTTTGTTCTTCATACCCATTGGTGCCAGGTAGGAATACTTCACTGTAGAAGAGTAACAGATGTTGCAGTAGGATAAATTGTTTTGTGAATGCTGGGCCAATTTTGCTCTTAGGGCTAATTTACATAATTTGATTTGTTTGTTGCAGCCACATGGGTAGAATACAATAATGCAATTGCTGACACCATATGGACACCCAGAGAACATTGCTTCAGTGTAACAGACAAACCAGTGGATTGGCCACTTCGTAACAGCACTGGGTTGTTAATTGATTGGGGGTTGTACACCTGTGATTGTTATGTTCTTGGGATCTTAAAAAAACAACCAACCAACCTAGCACAAAAGTATTATATGATATGAAAAAAACCAGCAAGGGCAAAGCAAACGACCAGCTTTCCTTGACTGGGTTTATCATATTTGTGCTCATTAATTTTAAGGGACATTAAATTAGACCTAGGAATCATTAAATCAGATTGCTGTATATGCAAAACTGTCTAAAGCTGACAACCAAGTAGTTGGGCTGCATTCAGGACAAATCCATTTTTCATTCCTGTATTTCCCAAGATACCATCATTCTTGTATTTTAATGAGCATGTGTGATAACAACTATTTATAGGTAATAGTAGACATGTCAGACTAGTGGCCAATTGCTGCCAAGCCTGGCCAGGTCTGAAACTTGGTGCCTCAAGCCAGTGTTTTCCACTGTAAAAAAATCTGCTTATTGAACAAGCTGAGTTTTCAACTTAAAATACTGTAGCTAAAATACATATGTTCATTCGGAGCTTATTCTAAAATCACTATGTTTATCACACGTAGAAGTGAAGTTGGATTTGGATGCATGAAACAAAAAAGAGGATGCAGCTAAGAACAGAACACAACGGCTGAGACTAGATTCCTACCTCGCTATCTAAGTGCAGAAGGGCTTCACTTGAGTTTGACTGGAGTTCTTCAATATTGTGCCCTAGGAGTTGAATGTGGCCCACTGATTCTGCCAATATGTCTTCCATTCAGTGGCTGCTAGTCAATGAGCTGCTTTTTAACACATGCAGCCTTTTAATATAATGCACTCATACAGAATGAAGTTTGGCATAGATTTGGAGAAAGATGAACGGGCCTTTCAAGATTTTTTTAAAAGTTGTATATAGTAAACAAAGAAAAGAAAAGAAAAGAAAAGCATAGCATAGCATACTGACTTGTGTCGTGTATCACAAAGCTGTATTTCTCTGCTAAAAAAAGAATATCAAGGTGAGGCAGATGGGCACCCCTGCACTATTTTATTTATTTCAAGAACTCAGTATTCCCCATCCTTTTCTTCCCCCAAAAAATGCTTCATTTATGAATATTGTTTGTGTCTTGATTTTCTTGGAAAACTGAAGAAGTACTAATGTCAGGTTGGTTCCAGACTGATTTCTGTTCTTTTCACTTTTTGAGTTATAACTTTTTCTTCTGAAGAAGCCATTGTATAATTTGTGCCTAACTTTATATTGATATAGCAGAATATATATCTTAGCTTCCACGTACAGAACAATTATTAATATTTAGCTCTGTAGTTCAGCTGTGTGATTTGCCCCTGCTTTTTTCTTACAAAGTTATTTATACCACCTTTTGATGTATTCTTCTCTTTCAGTCAACAGGGGTGAGGGAAATAGCTCAACCCTGACCCCACTCTATGTAAATGTAGTATTAGTAATAGTTGTTGTTGTTGTTATGATGATATATAATACATAACTTCACAAGATTCTTCTTCAAAAACAACTATTTTGAGATGTGCACACCTTATTTTCATTCATCCACTCCCACCATGTGATCATTCCATAATCACATCATGACCCACCTTTATAAACTGCAATGGAAAAGAAACATTCTCACTTAAGAAAGGGAAAGAATTTAGCTCAATGACATTCTTTCCACAGTTAATTCTGCATTGCATTTCTCCACACAATATAGCCCATAACATTTTCCTGCAGTATATACAGTGCTGTACAAGTATTGATTTACAAAATCATTTTAATCTATTGAGTAGTTTGAGATGAGAGCTTTGCAAGAACAATTAACTTTACTGAAACAAACCAGTTCATTGTAAATGAGTAGACACAGGGGAGATAAACATGCCTTTCATAATTGGCACAACTGTAGCATACAGCATCCTCTTGTACTTTATACATGCATCTCTGAGGTTTTAAAAAGTGATCAGTGTTCATGTAGCATGTTCTAGGGCTGTTATATGTCCCTATAAAATATCTTAGCAACCAGTGTAGAGGTGGTGAATTCTAGACTAGCCTGCTTGCTTGCTTCTTCTCCACTCCTTGTGTTTGTAAGAGCTGAACTAATTGTACTTCTTTCAGGGGACTGTTTTAATTCCTTTTGTCTATTTGTCTTCACATTACAGGGTCTCAGGTAACTCTTGTGTTTAAAATCTGTGTTTGTAGATAGGCAGATTTCATCTTGCTTGGGGAGGGTGGTTAATGTATAAAAAGAGAAAACTAAAATGACTCTAAATTTTGTTGTAAGTTTACAAATATTTCTCAAAATATTTATTTTGTATTAAATATATAAAATAGGGTATATTCCAGCCAAAGTTCAGCACTTTCCTCTATTTTTAGTGAAAAAGGTTTTAAAAACATGTTTAAAGCACTTCATGGAAATATTTGACAGTTAAAGTGGGTTTGAGACTGGCCAAAATGTCACCTGAAATCCTTTTGCTGAACTGTCTCTTCCATGCGGCAAATGGCATCCCGCTATCGGATGACTGTCAGTCATTGAGCTGCCAAGTAGAAGCACAATTAAACAAATTGCCATTAGTTGGAATAGAAAATAGATTTTTAAAAAATCTATTAACCCTTTTCTCGTTTATGTTACATATCACAATTTGCTGGGATTTTCATCAAAAAGGTTCCAATGAAATGAGGGGACAAGTGTGAATGTTCATGGGATAGGTCAGTGGTTCTCAATCTTTTCTTCACCACAGACCGCTCTTTAAATATCTTTTGTGGCCATGGCCCATGCTCTCCCCAAGATTTAACTCAAGATTTAAATTATAACATTTCTGCAAGCCTTCGCAGACCCCCTGTGATGACATCATGGCCACCTAGGGCAGGGGTGTCAAATGCACAACATCATGTGACGTGTTGTGACATATTAGGACTTTTTTGCCATTGTCGGCAATGGGGTGGGTGCGGTTTTGCTATGATGTATCCGACAGTTTGATACCCCTGGTCTAGGGGGGGCTGTGGACCACAGGTGGAGAAGCACTGGGGTAGGTGATTGTCAGCATGTTGTGTGTGCCTATAAGGCTCTTCGTTGATCCTCATGTAGCTTGAAGCATTAAGTCCTTTTCACAAGTTTACCAGCCTACATTTAGTGCTGAGGGCACTTTTGCCGGATGATTCAGTGGGAAACTGCTATTTTGCATTTGTTCTGGGATTTATTTCTTGTCCAAGATGTTTTCAAGAACTATCTCTTGTTCTTGGCATAATAAAATTTCATAAACATGAGCTGGAAAATTAGCTTCTGTAGGCATTAGTAGCTGGGGAATAAAAATCTGTTGCACGTGGAACTGAATAATTACCCACCACAGGTTGTTTTAAATAAATAAACAACATAGTAGAAGAAACTAGCATATTTTATTTTCATTCTGACTTCATTTTTTTTATCAAATTCACCCCTTGTATATTTCTTAATTATCTTCCTGCTGTTATTTTAAACTTGGTAAAACATTCAGAAAGAACATTCAAAACCATTACAAAAGAAAACAGTAAAAATATTATCAAACAAATATCAATTAAAGACCATTTCCATGTCTCCCAATGATATGTTAGTGGGAAACATAGTCAATTAGATGTTACTTCAAACTTTACTAGAGGTAAATGCTAGTGTCCCAGTAATCATAATGTGACAGTAATAACCTTGCAGCCAACATATTTTCCTGGTAGTCAAGAAAGCAACAATATCATAGAACGTTGAAGAACTATATTCCAAGCAAGAGCACATATGTTACATGCTACCAATGCAATTTTTAACTCTTGGAAATTTTAGGTTAAAAAATGGAGTCCATGAAAGCTGGGCAGCTTATAAAATCAAGTGAATGAATGAATGGATCTGGCTATCAGTTTGTATAAATAGTTTGCAGGTATATGGGCCAATGATTTGACTAAAACTATTTTGTTTTGTTGATTTAACTCCATTCTATTTCTTTAGGAAAAGAGGCATTTAGGTCTGCTACCTCATTGCTGTTCATAAATGAAACCATAGCAATGCAAGGCCAAACTGGAGATAAACCATTTTTTAAAATTATTTAAATCAAGTATCTGGATGTTGACTCCTTATTCAGTAAGTTGAAAAGACGGTTTTCTTATAATACATACATTTGAAAGGGAATGTCATTGAAAGGAAAATACATATGGCATGTTTCAGAGCACACCTGATTACCTAAAAAATGCTCATGGGTTGGTTTGTTGTCAACCATGTGCAGAAACATTGGCAATAATTAAAATTAATGCTAGAAAGGGAAGATATTAAAAGCTGCATCTTCTTGATGTAGAAGCAATAAAGCATATGATTTTCACAAACAAGAATCCAGTCTGTATAATATTTTAAAGGCCAGTCTTTAAAACAGTCCATTTCTATACAAATGTTTTATAAATTACCTTTTGATGCCACAAAAATCTACATAATTATTTTAAAATATACAGAGCATTTTCCTGATCTGGACCAGGACCAAGGAATGGACCCCCTGATGTAAACATTAATCTCTAACTTTATTGTGTAGAGAAAAATAACTGCTTTTAAATTATTCCTGGTGTTCAAATAGTAGTAATTTTCCACTGAATTTGATGGCAAAACCACTTTTGACTTGAAGCTTCAGTCGAGGGTGTTCAACACAAACAGCCTAATTATTAGTTTATGTTGAGTCACCTATGACATAGAATCAGAAAATTAGAAAAAGAAAGAAAATTAGGCCAGGCAACTGTGACCATTTCAGTGAGAACAAAACCATTTCATTTTTAAATTTATCAAATATAGTATGCCTCTAACCTGTCCAACAAAAGTTCGTTGTAGAAAACAAATAATGTGTATTTTACAGCTCTTTGAATTGTCTAGTAGCAAATGCATATATTTTATGAGCACATCCTGAACATCATAAACTATTTTAGTAAATGTAATTTTTAAAATTAATATGAGTAAAATAAAAAGCCATATTGCAGAAAAGTGTCATATCTATTTCTATAACTGTTGATCTTACAAATATAGAAAAAGTCTTGAAATTTAATGTAAGTTGTCTCTGTGGCATATTTGTCTAACCAAATGAGGTCAATTTTTAATGAATCAGATATACTCTTCTTAATGTATATATTAAAATGAAGATCAATGCAAAAATATTCCACCTTCAAATTCCTTATAGTTACCTGTATAGTATATTTTGGTTTAACCCAGAATCACTTTGTTTAAGAAAAGTGGGTTTAACTAAATGAACTTTTATTGACCAAAATGATTTGGGATGTGTTTAGGCTAATGTTTAATTTGGATCAAGTTATTCTTTCTATCAAGTTATGCACCACTGATTGGATTGATGTGCTTTGCACATCAGTCATGGTGGGAGGGGTGTGAGGCAGCATTTAGCATTGATTAGCCTCCACACTGCTCTGCCATACCATTTCGCATATATGCACACTTGTATAGTTCATAGTGATCTCTTGCTAGATTTCACTGCTATTTTCATGCAGATGCTATTTTTTTCCTTTCTTATTAAATGGCACCTTTTGCAGGTTTTCTATTTCAGGTTGACAGAAATAAAAGAAAAAAAATGCCAGTGCTTTCAATTGTATCTTGGCAGGGGTTCCTTTGCTATAAGGAAAGGGTAACCTAGCAGATGTTGCTGTTGTAATAGCCTCTGTCCTTTAATACGTATCTTGAATGGGACATCCCAACCTAACATAGGTCCTAGTGAAAGTAAGAACAGGTGTGCAGCGGTAGTATTTGTTAGATGGTTCCTAGTAAGTGTTTTTGACAGAAAGCTGTAACTCTTGACATCAGTCACAGTAACTTGCTGCTGCTAAATACACAGTTCTGAGCTAGATTGACCAATGATTGGACTTAGTATAAAACAGCTTCATATATTGGTTGTTTGATTCCTTTAGCATTAGCCAACTGCTTTCCTTCTGGGAAAGAGAATGCTTTGCCTGTTAGCTTTGCACACTTGTTAAAAACTTTAACCACAGAGTGCAAGATCAAGGGTAATCATGGACAGCAATCATTGTTTAATGAATGATCAATAATTTGTTTAATTAATGATTAAAAATAAATGTGCGGCAGTTGCAGCCTTACTAAATATCTTGAAAATATGTGTTTTTCTTAAGGGATATTTATTTGAATGGAAATAAGATAAGCCAAAAGCATTAGTGGCATGTTTTAGATGCAAGGATCTGGTATATGGGTATATGCTGGCCACCTCAAAAGTACTTTTGAGTTGGTTCATGATTCTATTGTCTCCAAAATTGTAGCTAAACTTCTTGCATACACTAAAACTCTGCATAGTGGCCTGGAATGTAGCATTTCATCTTTGACTAAAGAGGAAGGAGTGGAGAAAAAAATGTATTTATGGTAACAATGGTTTCTGCCTTTCTTTTTACCATGAGGCAGCCAATAACCAAAGAAAGAGGGAGTGAGTGTAGTATTTTCAACAGGTTGAATTTAAAATGTGAAAGCTGGGCTAGATTTTATTGCTTGCAATAGTATGATTTTGCCCACCATGTTTTAAATACATCTTCAGGTAACCATTTGCCTTATAGGTGTATTTCATTGTTAAGAATAAAATTAATATTTGACTAGAATATATTGCTGTCCATCACCTAGACTAGAGTATATAGTGTACTTTGTGTCTTTTACAGGCCAGTCTTATGTTGATTTACTCAGGAGTAAGTCTCACTGTCTTTATTGAGACTTATTTCCAAGTAAGAGTATATAGGATTGTAGTTTTAGGCACTTTATTGTGGACCTATCATGGAATAGGTTAATTCTTAATTACTTGCGTAATGTCATAAATACTTACAGGCATTCTATAGGGGTACTGCTGCCTATGGATAAAGATATGTACCCTAATCAGGAAGTTATATTATGTCCATGTATAAGCTAATAAAAAGCATTTATGTTTTAAAGGATGTGTATCATATATATACATATATCTTATATAGCGCCTATGATATATTATACATTATTCATTAAAAAAATATCATTGTCCTTGAGGCCCTACCTCAAATTTTGTATTATGTGTACAAATGCAATTTATTGTATTATATATTTGGCTATTATATTCTGATGTTACAAATTAGAATTTATCCTCTAATCTATAAGGTCAGGAAAAAAAAAGAAATCTAAATAAATGTCTAGTGTTTAAATAAATAACGATTGTGACTGTATCGAATGTTTCAAAGCATGTTCCTTTCGTTTTTCTTTCTCTGTGACTATTTATGATGTAAAATTTATGTTTTGTTGAAAAATATGAGTGGTCACCAAGTAGTAAAAATAAATTCCTCAGTGCTTTCAAAGGAAAAATAATAATACACAGATGCAGAAGCAAATGTCAATTACCGTAGATGGTATTCTAATGATTGGAATACACTGCAGCACATGGAATAATTAATTACTTACCAAAGAACATATTGGATTTCTTTAAATCCATTTATTACATTAATTCAATCATGTACAAGATTAAATAGAAGTAGAAAAAGAAAAGGTTGGGATAATTTATTTCCTTAATGGAGATAAAAAGAGAGAGTCCAGAGTGCAAAGGGTATTTTTTTTTTGAGAGTACATCCCATTGAACTCAGCAGTTCTCATGCTTGAACAACTATTCTTAGACTTGTGCTAAACATGCATAGTTCAGTTGCCCAATGTGTCAAAACTGGATTACATTCAAGTCAGAGCAAAGCAATTGAAACACCCTTCCCTTGCATGGAAGAATCTTAAGCCTGTAGCTAAATCTTTTTTTTTTCCAGAAATATTATTGGATTTAAAGTGGCCTGAACAATCCATACATCTAATCACAGTTCCCTTAC